TGTGGGTGGTGGGAGGAAGCCTTGTCCAACCTGTGGCTCAGGGCAGAGGCCAGTGGGGGTGAGGAGGGCTGGATGTTGGGCTCTGGAGTGGGCGGGAGCCTGTGTGCCTTCCAGAGTCTTCTGCCCTGTTGGCCTGGCTAGGTTCCTGGGGAAAGCAGGGTGTCATGGGGTGGGGTGGAGCCTCCCTGATGTGGGTGATGTCCCTTACCCGCAGGATGCCCAGGAATTCAGTGACGTGGAGAGGGCCATTGAGACCCTCATCAAGAACTTCCACCAGTACTCGGTGGAGGGTGGGAAGGAGACGCTGACACCCTCCGAGCTACAGAACCTGGTGACCCAGCAGCTGCCTCACCTTATGCCGGTACTGAGGGGGTGACCCCACACCAGGCAGGACACTGACTTCCCAAGCAAATGCTCCAAGGCCCTACCACCCAGCCACAGCCCCTGGCACTAGCAGCCCCGAGCCAGTGCTGGGGAGGCTCAAGTCTGGCTTCAGCCCCTGGGCAGGGTGGGGTGGGACGATTGGAAGGTGCTTGCTTGCTGAGCTGTTGTCTTTCCTCTCCTCAGAACAACTGTGGGCTGGAAGATAGAATCGCCAGCCTGGGCAGCTGTAACAACTCTAAACTGGAGTTTGGAAGTTTCTGGGAGCTGATTGGAGAAGCGGCCAAGAGCGTGAAGCTGGAGAAGCCTGTCCGGGGGAGCTGAGAACCTTCCCCTGGGATTCTTGGGGGGATGCTGGGGGAAGGGGACCTTAGAGACTGTGGGCCTGGAAATAAAACTCCTCTCTTTACCGTCACCACACTGCTCCCCAGCCCGCGCCTGCCTCACCTCTGCAAGGTTCAGGTTCATAGCGGCCCCTCCCGGGGTCTCTGCACTTCATCCCTGGGAGCTCTGTGGAGCGAATGGGTCCAGGAATCCCCACCAGAGGGAGGCTCAGGGGGCGGGCTGGGGCCAGGGATGGTGTGGAGGGTCAGGATGGTTAAGGGCCACGCCATTTGGTAGTGGGTGCTGGGCAGAGAGGAGCTGGACTCTGGGAAATGATTTGAAAGGGACTGGGAATAGGGCTGGATATTTGGAATTAAAAAAGGTCTCTCAGAACCTACCCCTCCTACTCTCTTCCCCAACCCAAACGAGCTGTCTGTCCAATGCTTTATCTTCCTGCCTCCAGCTCTGCCCCAGCCTCCTCCCAAAACTGTCCTTGGACTAGGGCAGGGGAAGTGGGAGAGCAGTGGGGAGGGGGAGCAGGCTAAGAAGGGTGTGACCTTGGGGAGCGAGAACCAGCTGGGTGGTTGGGCATTTAAAGAATGATGGCTGTTTTGTATATCTTGATTAATAAAAATAAAATGGAAAAAGTGAAAGATGCCTTGTGTCTGCATACCTTCTTCCCAGGTCCCTGGGTCCATGGGTGCAAGGTGGTTGGGGTGAATGGCAGAGTCATCCGGTGGCATCAGTAGAAGTGAATAGGGACCCACTTTATCCCATGGATTTGGGTTGGCTGCAGTGGTTGTCAGTAGAAGTGAATAGGGACCCACTTTATCCCATGGATTTGGGTTGAGGATGGTGCCAGGCCCCAAAGGTGGGAGACCTGGTCCTCTGTGAGGGCCGAGCTCCTCTTTGCCAGGGGCTGGCACTCGGACAGGAGAGGACATGAGCCCAGGTGTGCCGGATGGAGCCTGGGTGAGGAGCTAGGCAAACGTGGGGCTGGTGGCCTCCGTGTGTCAGGGTCAGTTTCCGCATCTGTAAAATGGGGATATTAACAGCACTTCCCTCAGAGGATTGCTAGGATAATTTGAGGCCTCATGTAAAGCACTTAGCAGAGAGCCTGGCACAGTGAGTGCCCGGTGAACTGCCAGAGTTGGTGAATGGGTCCCCCCTCCTTTCAGCTGCTGCCTCCTCACGGGGATGTGGAACTGGCCAGGTTCCTTGGGAAGGGCTAGAGCAGGGGTCCTCAAACTTTTTAAACAGGGGGCCAGTTCACTGTCCCTCAGACCGTTGGAGGGCCGGACTATAGTTTAAAAAAACACTATGAACAAATTCCTATGCACCCTGCACATATCTTATTTTGAAGTAAAAAAACAAAACGGGAACAAATACAATATTTGTATTTGCATGTGGCCCGCGGGCCGTAGTTTGAGGACCCCTGGGCTAGAGGGTGTTTCCAGAGGAATCATCTGCTGCACAAGAGCAGTCCCAGGGATGGGGGTCAGGAGAGCTCCTGGTGGGCTGACCTGGAGGTGGTAGCTCAGGGGGCCGGAGTCCGGTCCCTGGAGCCTGCCTTCTGACCTGTGCACACAAGCCGGGCGTTACTCCTGAGACCCCAAGGGCAAGGCCGTCTCTGAGGCCAGCCAAGCTGGCCTGGAGTGCCACCCGCACGTGTCTGTTTGGAGCCCCTGACCCTGAGCTCCAGCGACCTCGGTGAGAAGGGCAGGTGACAGTCCTTCCCTTCCTTTCTCCACCTGGTAGGCTCTGTCAGGCCCTGCGGGGCTAGGAGGGTGGGGTTGACAGAATGCCAGCTTCCACCCCTCCTTCTGGGGTGGGGTGGAGGGGTGTTAAAAAAGGTGTGTATCCCTTTAACGAGGGCCCAACCCCAGGGCCAAGTCAAGAGAGAGCTCAGTCACTACCTCCCCACTGAGCCAGCTCAGCCAGGCAGGGAAGGAGGGAGTGGGACCCATTCGGGGAGTGCGGCGGGGAGGAGTCCTGGCTGGGCTAAGTGAGGGTTGCTGCTTGGCGGTGCCAGAGCCCAGGCCCCAGAGCCCTGCTGGAGAGGAGTTGAACCGAGGAGGCAGGTGAGCACCCCAGGCCCGTCCTGGGCGGTCGGGGCTGCCGGAGAGGCCCCACGGCGGCGTTTGAGGCCCGGAGAAGGGGCTGTAAAGGGGCCTGAGGAGGGAGGGCCCTGCCAGAGACCGGGGCTGGGAGGTGTCGTTAATTCACTTTCCCAAAAGGCTGGTTTGCAAATGGAGAATTCTGGTAAGATGAGGGACTGGAGTGGCCCTCAGAGGAGTGGGTGGGGTGGTGAGACCCCCTCCCCAGCCCAGCAGCTGCCTGGGCTCCTCTCCAGCGGCGGGGCCACCGGGAAGGGTGTTTGGGAGCTTTGCCCGCAGCTGCTCCGATCCTTTCCTAACAGAAAAAGGGCAAATGCGTGGAGCTGGGGGTTGGGGAAGGTCGGACCCTCGCTACAGGCCTCCCTGGCCTCTGGGAGCAGTGTCCTGGGAGAGGTAATGGGGTCCAGGGAGGGCCCAGGGAGCCTGGGAGCCTGAGGGGGGGAGAGAGGTGGCTTCTCTCCACCTTGGGACGCAGGCCCCATTGTGCTCTGAGAGCCGTTCCCAGGGAGGGCAGATGGGACCTGGAGGAACCTGGGTGAGATCCCGGGGGCGCCTGGGAGCTCTGGGATAGGGGCCAGGAGTCTGGGCAGCTTCTCCTCCACCTCAGGACCGAGGCAGGTTCTGGCTTGACTGGCTTTGTTTGGTGGAGCCACCTGCACTGTGGGAGCATTCCCCTGCCCAGCCCTGTCCGGGTGGGGGTGAGGGCAGGGGTTCTGGGGGAGGGAGCACTGGAGGTGCCGATGAGCGGGCTCAGCCTTTCCCTGTCCAAGAGTAAAGAGCCCTCTGGGTATTGGTGAGACTAGGAGCAGGAGAGAGAGAGAAAGAGAGAGAGAGAGTGTGTGTGTGTGTGTCCACACCAAACTCCTCCAGCTTACTTGTCCGGAAAAGAATTTAGAGGAGCAGGCTTCTCCTTCCAGCTACATTCTCTAAAATCACCAGTGGGCGGAAGGTAGATAGGTTACCCAAGTAGAGGGGGCCAGGAACGGCAGAGTGCCTCACGCTGTGTATCCATGTGTGCAGTGAGTCCTGTGAGGGTGGGGAAGGGCGAGGCAGGGGCGCTTGTGTGAGAGAGTAGCCTCTGGAATTGGGAAAAGACCAGGAGGAGGCAGAGCAGAGAATGGGGCTATGGAGGCTGAGAGATTAGTTAGAAAGAGCCTTGCAAATCGAGTCAAGCATCACCAGCCTACTTCAGGTTACACCTTCCCTGCATATTGACGGGAATCAAGGAAATGCATCAATGAATGAGTCAATAAATGAATAAATGAGCCAATGAATGAATAAGCAAATGAATGGTGAATAAAAGAGTGAGCAAATTTGAGGTAGAGGGAAGGGACACAGAGCATGCCAAATTTAGGCTTGAGAGTGGGCTAGGCTCTAGAGAGGATGGTGACTAGGAGAGACAGGAGTCCAGGTGTCAGCAGTGGTCAAGGGCGCCTCTGGCCAGAGATGAGTACTCTGTGCCCTCAGTTCTTACCTTGCTTATAGGAATGGATTCAAACAAGAGACAACTTTATGGCAGCAAAAGCAGGCGAGGATTTATTTGTAGGAAAGAAATACACTCAGGTAGGACCTGGATGGGCAACTCAGCTGGATGTAACCAAACCAAGTGCCCTAAGTGGGCAGGCTGAGACCAAATCCCAGTATTAGGGAGTTTAGAGGATTTATACCTCTAGGCTGGCATGATCCTAGGCAAGGAGCAAGTCATTCCCTCCCTCATGTCTCAAAAAAAAGATGTATCTTTAAGCTATGAGGCTCCCTCATCTAGGAGTTATGCCATCGCTTAGAGTTAGACCCTATCTTGGAGGGCTCTGAATCTTTCCGCTCACATAAGGGCCTGGTATCTCCATTGTCTATTTTCAGGTTGTCATGTCTCACACTTGCTTTCTCCAGGCCCCAGCTGCCTCTCCCAACCTCTCCCAGCTCATATCTCTCTCTCTGCTTACTCTAACACAGGGACATTTGGAAACAATTTAAGACTCGAGAAGTGTGTGCAGAAGGTTGGGCGGGGGGGAGGTGAATTTTGAAGAGTATGGTGGATGTTCAGGGCTCCAGATTGAAGGGGATTAGAGAGTTGAAGAGATGGGGGATGGTTAGGAGGCATCTGGAGGGGTGGGGCCTAGAATCTGGGGGTGGAAGGGTGGGGCTGGAGTGGCTGAGACCCAGGGCATGGTGTCAGGGCAATTTGTGCTTTTGGAGAAGTCATCAAGCTGGGCTGAGGTGAGTGGGGGTGGGGATAGGGGCTTCTTGGTCGCTCAATAATGAATCCCTCAAGGAAAAGACAATGAGAACATTGGGGGAGGGTTGAGGGCCCCAGGTGAGGGGGTCCTTTGGAGAACCAGTGGCCTCCCCATTCCCACTTTTTGGGAAGGTTCTAATGGACATGTCCACCTCCCCCGAACGCTTAGGCCAGGATCTACCTGTAGCAAAGTCAATACAGGACCTACCTTCTGACGGAACAACATTGTGGCCTGCCCTCACTGCCCCGATCCTGTGCCTGGGACCATGCTGCCTCCTTGGTGGGGGGATGGGGCAGGCAGGGAGGAGCAGGTGGCTATGACATGGGTGTAGTGGCAGAGCCTGTCTCCCAGCCCCTAGGGGAGGGAGGAAGGGCGGAAGAGGGTGGGGACACCTGACTATCCCGCTCTGACATTCTTCCTTCAGAAAGTCACTTATCCAGATATATCTCCAGAGATGTCCATTTGACTTAAAAGAAGGAGAAGGTGTGGGTGGGTGATGGGCAGACTATTGGGAGGTCTGGGGCCTGAACCCCGGAGCTGCGAAAGCTCTCTGGGGTGATCGCACACCTGACAGCAGGTGGCTGATTGTCAGCCAGGTGCTCACCTGGGTCCTGCCTACATGGCTGCCAGAGACCCAGTAGGGACTGGGGCGTGGTGTCAACGAAGGCCAGGAGGTTCCTCTGGTCAGAGAAACAAGACTCCAAGAAGACAGGTGGTGGGAGGGGCGGGCAGGCTTTGGGGAAAGGGGCAAGACATGCCACCCCCTAAACTGGATTTCTTTCCATTTCCTCTTCCTATTTTCCACAGGGAACAGGGTCTGGGATGGTTAAGGGTGGGGCACTCTCTGAACTCCCTTGCCACTCGCAAAGCTTGGTTGGGAGTACACTTGGCAGGATCCGTGCTGAACCGGGATTCCTGCTGTGCTGCTTCCATACTTCATCCTTTCGGGCACAGACCAGGGGAGAAGGGAAGGATTCCTGGTCAGAGATGCCCCAGCCTGACCTCTCTCTCAACTTTCCTTCCTTCCTGCATCCTGGTCCAGTCTCATTCTACCTTCCAAAAAAGCTTTGCAAACAACAACAACAAAAACCAACAGACATTAGAAGAGTGGTCAGGGGCCTTTGCACACCTGGTATCAGGGCTGGAAGGAAGCAGGGCATTTATGGAACATCTTCCTTGAACAAAGCACTGGGCTGAGCAATACAGGCTAGAAGAGATGCAGAGATTAAAAAAGCTTTAAGCCCTGGCTGGTGTGGCTCAGTTGGTTGGGTGTCGTCCCATGCACGGAAAGGTTGCTGGTTCGATTTCGGGTCAGGGCACACGCCCGGTCTTTCAGGCTTGATCCCTCCTTGCGGGGCGGGGAGGGGTGGAGGGTAAGATGTGAGGCAGCCGATAGATGTCTGGCTCTCACATCAATGTTTCTCTCTCTCCCTTGCCCTTCCTCTCTCTCTAAGGGATCAATAAAATATATATATATATTTAAAATAATAAAGCAGTGAGGTTGTCTATCCAGGATTTAAAAAAAAAATGGCCCCAAAGCCCCGTCCTTCTGTGTGGTTCAGAATACACAATGGCTGTGTGTCAGAAACACACTCCTTGCTTCCAGGAATGTCTGGTGTCTGGGGAGATTATAAGACCCAGGAAAAGGCTGCAGCCATACCAGTTAGTGGGCCCAGGCCAATGCCAACTGAGAGTCTATGGGAGCCAGGGATGGAGGGCAGGGGGCAGGGCAGGCTTCCCGTGGGAGGGGCAGTTCCAGTAGGCTTCAGCTAGGCAGCGAGGGCAGGGCAGTGGGCACAGAGGAAGACGGCCTTCGAGAGCAGGTGGGAGGGGCAGGGACTTGAACTGTGGATGCCCAGGCCCTTCCCTCACCAGGATCTGATGGGCAGGGTGGCTGCAGCTCCTTCCTGGGCTTGGGGGCGTGAGTGGAGGCTCATTGCCCGGGTTCACTTGGGGGGGCACTGGGCATGGGCGGCGACTCAGACTAGATCCGCCTGTCCCTTCATATCCTGTTATTCAGAGAGCTGTATCCGCTGGGAATGTGAGTGTCTTTTGTCCCGGGGTGAGGAGGTGACTGTGTGGCCTCTGGCTGGCTGGCTGGCTGGCGGCAGCTCCGTCTCCAGCTGGGGCAGACCCAGCCTGGCTCCTCTTTAGGTAATCGGGTGAAGGGTCCTCGGGGCCTGTTGCATATTTTGGGGTGGGTATGAGGGAGGCTAGGCTAGCTAGCGGGGTGTGGCTGGAAGTCTGCAGAATGTCTGACTCAATGAATCCGGACATTGTCCTTGCCCAGCAGCGGCCATGGCCTGGGAGTCTGGACTCCCTTCCCTGGCGCCTGGCCGGATGGATTGCGGAGGGCCTAGGTCCTTGCCTCTGCTTTGTTGCCTGGGGCCGGGGTCTCAGCCAATCTTGGTGTCTTGGTAGGAGACTATGGCTCCTGTCCCAGCCATCTTGGCTCATCCTAGCCGCTCCTAGCTGTGTTTGCCCCCAGGGCAGAGGGCCTGGGTGAGACAGGTGTGCAGACGGTGGAGGGATGGGCACTTACTCTCTTCCCACGGGAGCCTCTTGCTCTCACTGGGACTCTGACAAGCCCAGGGCCTGGGGCTGGGGAAGGGCCGGGAGAACCTGTTGGGGCAGTTGAGCTGGGGAACACCTGGATTAGAAGAGCCGCATAGTACTCATTCCAGGGCTAACCCCCCCCCCCTCCCTTTTCCTGCCTCCTCCTGGAGGACCTGTGAGCTCAGAGGCCCCAGGGCCCAGGGTGTGTGTGTGGTGGGTGTGGGGGGGGGGGGGGGAGGGAGTGGCCTGTCGGGGGCTCTTCTCATCTGTGATTCTCATGGTGCCCAGGCCCCTCGAGGAGTGAGGCAGTGATGGCGGACTGCTACACAGAGCTGGAGAAGGCGGTGGTAGTTCTGGTGGAAAACTTCTACAAATACGTGTCTAAGTACAGCCTGGTCAAGAACAAGATCAGCAAGAGCAGCTTCCGAAAGATGCTTCAGCACGAGCTCAACCACATGCTGACGGTAAGGCCCCCACGCAAGGGCCCTGTCTCTCCCCAGCCCCCGAAGCCCTGTCTTCCCCATTGCAGCCCCTGTTCTTTCAGAGTTACCCCACAAACCAGGGTCTTGACCCCGCCCAGGCCTCTATCCTCTTGGGGTACCCAGGCCTGAGCCCGATCCGGGGCCTCTGCCTAAGGGGGCTCTGTGGGACTGCCACTCTCAGCATGGCTGACCCAGGTTCCTCCCCAGGACACGGGGAACCGAAAGGCTGCTGACAAGCTCATCCAGAACCTGGACGCCAACCACGATGGACGCATCAGCTTTGACGAGTACTGGACCTTGATAGGAGGCATCACCAGCCCCATCGCCAACCTCATCCGCGAGCAGGAGCAGCAGAGCAGCAGCTAAAGACCCCCCACCGTCCCCTCATGGCACTGCCCCCATGCCCGGCCCCTCGTGCTCTTCCCAGCCTCCTGCCCATCCAGGCCCTGCCCTCACTTCTCCCTCCAGACCTTCTGTTGATCATTGCTGAACAGGGGGAGGGGGGATGTCAGGGCCTCTTTGTGAGCATATCTCAGTCTGGGGGTGCCTACCTCAGGGTCTCAGTCCCTGGAGCCAGCAGACGCTGGGCATCCAGGCCCTCAGTGCTGTTTGGGTAACCCGAGTTTCCTCAGTCCATCTACCCTGCCAACATCTGACGTTCCTGCCTAATTCTGAGTCTCTCTTGACCTCTGGAGGTCAGCTCGCTGCTCCAGGTCTTCCCGCTCCTGGCATAAGCACCAGAGACATCTCCCCTTCCCCTCAGCCCCTGGGCTGGGAAAGGACTTTCTGGGACTGCCCTCCAGCTAGCTGCCTCTGGGTCTGGGAAGAGATAAGCAGGGTTGAGCCCTCTCCCTCCTCCTCAGCCCCTGAAGCATGGCAATAAAGGCTGGATTTGAAATTTGTGTCCCCCTCACCCAGTCCCTTTGTGATGCTCATTAAAACCCTTCCACATCCTGGCCAGTGATTCCTGGTCAAAGGCATGTACCTGGGTTGCAGGTGCCATCCCTGGCCCTGGTCAGGGCGTGTGCAGGAGGCAACCAATTGATGTGTTTCTCTCTCATGAACATTTCTCTCTCTCTCTCTCTCTCTCTCTTTCCCTCCTCTCTCCTTTTTTCCTCTCCCCCCTCCTTTCCTCTCTTTCCCTCCTCCCTCCTTTCTTCCTCGCCCCCTCCTTTCCACTCTCTCTGAAAATCAATGGAAAAAATATCCTTGGGTGAGGATTAACAAAAAACAACAACAACAAAAAAATCCAAAAAAAACCCAACACAACAAAAAACAAAACACACACACACACGCGCGCACATACACACACACACACACACACACACACACACACACAACACCAAACACCGTTCCACTCCTTGGAACCTTAGAAAGAAGTAGAAGTCCTGGATCCCAGTGGGTGCTGTCAGCCCTGGACCAGCAGTTCCTTCCTTCCAGCTCCATGAAGGTCCAAAGGCCACATGTCACCAACTGGGCCCTCCTAGCTGGACTCAGACGGTATGTCCCATGTGGTCCTTATTGCAGTTCTGTGAGCGAGGGGCCATGGCCCTTAGTTGCACTGAGGATCTGAATGCTCATCAACAGATTATTTATTTATTTAAAAAATATATTTTTTTAGTGATTTCAGAGATGAAGGGAGAGAGAGAGAGAAACATCAATGATGAGAACGAATCATTGATTGGCTGCCTCCTGCATGCCCCGCACTGGGGATAGAGCCCATAACCTGGGCATGTGCCCTGACCGGGAGTCAAACCCTGGTTCATAGGTCGACGCTCAACTACTGAGCCATGCCTGCCGGACGGCCAGGCGAATATGAATATATTTAAATGGATAATGGAGAGCATTACACCATTGTGATGTTTAGATTTCATCAAGCATGAATTTAAAAGACTCAAAGTTTTATTTAAAAAGTCACAATATTTAAAGCATTCCAGAATTTATACACTCTGCAAAGATTTAAACTTGTGACAAAAAATCTTAGCTGTCGACTTAAAATATATGTGAGTCAACACATACCATCACCCCCAACCCCCCAATTCCTTCAGGAAGCTCAGAGCAAACCCCATGAAGACAGACTATTGCTTTAGAGAGCAATAGGGGCGTTGGGGAGAGAGGGGGTGCTACCTGGGGAAGCTTTGGAGGCGGGATGAGCTGAACTAGAATGGAAGCCTGAGGTGAGCAGATCACATAGGGGAGAGAAAGGAGTCTTGGAGAATAGGACAGAGGATAGTCAGGGGCCAAGGCCTTGGTGTGGTGGAGGAGGCAGCTTCTCAAAGCCAAGGTGTGAGGGATGCGCGGGAAATACCAGAGGCACTTCCTGCCTCCTTTCCGATGACCGGCTCCTCACGTTCCAATCCTCCACATTGAATGTCTTAGAAGAGGGTGGTGGTGGTGGTGGTGGTGGGGTGTCGGGTGGGCCAACCCAGCCCTGTCCCTCAGGACCCAGCTCCTGCCCCCTTGAGAGAAGGGGCTATGCTCCCTTCAGTGCTCTGGTACATGCCTGGAGTTCAGCATTTCCATCCGTCCAAGACTTTAGAACAGCTGGCAGGAAATGAGAAGGCGTGTGACCCCAGCTAGAGGCCTGTTTCTAGAAGATTTAAGCTCCAACCTAGAGTGCTGGGGAGGACACTGAATGTTAGTGGAGGTCAGAGAATCTAAACCGCAGTCAGCGCTTTGGCTTTAGGCAAGGAGCCAGATAGGCCCCAGAGGGACAAAAGCTGTCACTGCAGAAGCAGGCACTCAGCTGAGGCCTCCCTGGGGAGTGGTAGGGCCAGAGAAGGGCAAGCCTTCCTCTCTTACCCGCAAGTTCAGGGAACTAGACAGCCCGAGCAAGGCCTGAACAGAGGAGGGGAGGGAGGATCAGAAGCAAGTCCCATGGTACTATTGAGCAGGGCCCCGCTGCCTGGGTCTTTCCCTGGCCTGGCCTAGTATTTAAACCACATGGGTCTGAGGTGGTGGGTGCCCAATACATTGCGCCTGCCAAACCCCTCTGTAGTCAGACTTGCCATTCTCTAGGGTGAGAACCTGGCTTATTTTTTTATTTTTTTTAAAATATATTTTATTGATTTTTTACAGAGAGGAAGGGAGAGGGATAGAGAGTTAGAAACATCGATGAGAGAGAAGCATCGATCGGCTGCCTCCTGCACACACCCCACTGGGGATGTGCCCGCAACCAAGGTACATGCCCTTGATCGGAATTGAAGCCGGGCCCCTTGAGTTCGCAGGCCGACGCTCTATCCACTGAACCAAACCGGTCAGGGCGAACCTGGCTTATTTTGTCACATTAGGGTAAGAAAACCAAAACTACCAGCGTCAGCTTTTGACCTTCCTGTGCATTTTGGTTTTTCTTTCCATTTAGATTTTTAGTAATTTCCTCTTGAAACCTGAACAATCCTTTCTGCTTGTCCAATGTTAAAAGTTTTAAAAACACGTTCTCATTCAAGTCTCATTTGGTCCTGCTGACAGCCCCGTGAAACAAGAATCACGATCCACCTTTTACAGGCGAAGCTGTCAGAGGTGACGTGACTTGACATAGCCCAGGACACCCTGACGGTGACCCGATCCCGTCTTTTATGAACTCTGTGTGGACTGCCCCAAGGGCAGAGGCGCTTGTCTGTGTCTTAGCCCCAATAACGATGAAGGGCCGAGAGTGCCCTTTACATGCCTAGAGGCCACCGCAGCTTGGTGGCTGTGATGCTCCTGCTGCAGATGATCCATTCATTTCCCGTTCTCATGAATACCCCTTGTCATCACCTTCTAAGCTAAACACCATTTGAGTTTCTGCCCGAATCAATGATTCTTGAACAGCTATTCTTTTGGATCTCAGATAAATGCTTGTTGCCTCTCCCTTTGGCCTTCTATTTTGAGGTTAACAGGATCTAAGGAGATCTACTTAGTACACAGATTTGGCTGTGTGTAACACATACTAAATAGAGCAGTGGTTTGAATGAAGGAGTTTATTTCTTGGTCACATACTATCTGGAAGTAGGTGGCGTAGGCCTGGTTTGGTAGGTGGTTCTGCTCAGCCATCCCCAGTTGGTATAGTCCAAACGTTTCATCCATTTTCCAAGCAGCAAGGTGAAGAAGTGGCCTGTTCTCTGCTGTTAAGGGCAGAATTACAAGTGACTTACCTCATCTTTCTGCTTATTTTGGTCAGAGCTTAATCATGTGGCTACACCTACTTGCAAAAAAGGCTGGGGAGCATGGCCTTTATTTGAATTTAAAAGTAAGTTTGTTTTTAAACTATACAGAGTCCTTTTGGCTATGAGAGATAAGGGGAGAAACGGTAAGGGGACAACTAGCAGCCTTTACTACAAATGATATTTTGCACCTGCCACAAAACGTAAATTGGGCAGCATTTCCTCCTTTTTTCATTTCTGGAAATATGTATAAGATGCCCTGCATGCCCTCCTTAATGCCCCCCCGCCCCTTGATTTGGTAAACTTGCCCAAGAAGACCATCTGGGTCTGTTTTATTTTTAATGTTTTATATCTTCTTTTGTGTAGATTTATACTACTGAACAGTTTTTCTTTTTTACTAATAAAAATTGTATTACTTAGCAGCATTTAGAATGTCAACAAAATGGCTGCAACTTTTTTGTTTTTTTTGCAATTAGAGAGTGGTATTCAGTTAAGAGAACAACAATTGTTTCATAAAAGCTGCATCAGAGACAACTGAAGATGAAAAAATTACCATCCCCACATGTAACTCATTTGTGCTGTGCACCAAGAACCTGCTTTAAACTTCCATGCCGATTTACAACCCCCATACTGTACCAGGCAAAGTTAGTGGCTATTGAAAATACCACCAGGACAGGCCTATCCAAACACACATTGGGCCCTGCCAACATGGCTCAGTTGGTTGGAACTTGGTCCTGTGCATCGAAGGGTCCTGGGTTCAATTCCCAGTCAGGGCACATACCTAGGTCTAGGTTCGATTCCCCGTTAGAGGCAGCCGATCAATGTTTTTCTCTCTCCCTTCGTCTCTCTCTAAAATAAATAAAACCACATATCATCAGTGAGGATTATAAAACAAAAAGCATTAAAAAATGACATTTGGTAGTGTGTTAATTATACACACAGAAAAAGACACTGTATAGTTAGTTTAAAAACAAATCTTTTTTAAAAAAAATCCTATATAATAAAAGGCTAATATGCAAATTGTCCTCTAGACCGGGAGTTCGACCAGGGGGTGGGGCCAGCCAACCACCAGAGGCCCCTCCCTCCAGCCGCCCAGCTCCCAATCGCCCTGATCAGGGCGGGCTGGCCGGACCCCACCCACGCACAAATTCATGTACCTCTAGTAAATTCAGGCCTCTAGTAAAAAAAAAACAAAAAACAAATCTTACACAGCCTTTAATTTCAGTTTTTTTCTTTAAAAGGAATGAGTTGTGTACAGGGTAGGTAAATGCTTTATAGACAAGAAAAAAAGTTGCCTAGAACCAACTTATCATCTTCTTCTTCATCTTCATCTTCCTCCTGTTATAGGATAGTCAAAAGTTAGAAAAATTCCGGACACGCAGAATAGGGAAACTAAGACAGATAGTTAAACAGCAGTTTACAGCCACATCGTAAATCTTATCTTCCCTAAACCAAGGACACGTAAGAGTAAGTGGTTTGCATTTCTCCTCCCAAACCAGAGGGTAAATAGCTTAAATCACCCTACTCAGGAAGATAGATAACAGAAATCCAATTAGTGCCATTTGCCAACCACACCCATGAAGTTAAGAGAATAAATCTCATTTTGGTACATCCTCATAAAGCTGATGAATATTCTATAGATCCTCCCCTAAGACCTCCCCTAAATGCTAAGCCTTTAAAAACCCTGAAACCGAAGTTCCTGGCGGGCTTTCCCCCCTCCCCCTAGGAGCATGCCCATGTCATTCCCTTGCCCTTCTCCTTCCCCCACAGG